TGTCAACAGCTGTATTATTCTTACATCTAATGTTCCGATAGATTGCTTTATCAATACGTATAATAATATGTATTTTATGAATTCATTGTAAAATATAAGGGCAGTTAAATAAATAATATATAAGTTATCAGTGTAATTTCCCTTTTAAATTTCGTAAGTTCTTTATAGTAATGAAAATATCCGGTTATTGGACAAGCTATTTGCTTGTTTCGCCTGTTGTAACAAGTAACGAAACGTAATGTGCATTCAGTCAGGCATATACCATTATTTTACATGAATAGGGAGTTTGTGACATTTTCATTTTTTGCCATTTTTTCGGCGTTCTTCAAGGCTTTCAGTTTTGTCCACTTTGTAAGACGCATAATACTTGCACATCTAAAACTGAAATCTAAGTGTTTTAATGTACGGTAGGATTGAACAGAAAGATGAACAACTACCGTCATTGAAATTATTTATTCATCATACCCGTATCGTACCAATAAATAGTTTAATGAAATGATATTGCGAAGAAAGTATGTATTCTGTTAAATCTCAATGTATAATAGCAGACTGAAAATAGTCAACCTTTATTATTAAATTGAATACCACATATATCCCATCTAACTATGATACTTCTACCAGATTGCTATAAAGCTTGCTCAATGGTACGAACGTCACGTATACAATAGCCAGTTAAGCCAGCAACAAGGGCATTTCTTAAAACTCGCTCAATGTTGTACAAATTATGTTTCAAAAGCTGACTGTGACCAAACAATAATTCTAACATGAGACAAGTCAGATACATTTATGCATGACATAAAATATCAAACTAAATAATACTACTCTGGCTAATATCACCGGTAAAACAATAAAGTAGTATCATTTTAACTAAGGGAAAATAAGATCACATACTAGTATAGTATAAGCAAACGTACATGTACCATATATAAGTTCCTCAGTCCAGTAAAGTTAATAAAATTTTTAAACATTCAAAAAAATCAGAATGGACAATTCATTTAAATAGTGTTTGGATCAAGTAAAAATATTCTTTGTCAAATATACTTAGTTCATTAAATTATATTATAATTATATACATATTGCACAAGGGCTTTTTCTAAAGGTTATACACACTGACAATGCTTTCTTCATCTTCGCAAAGACGTTCTCCTTTTTAAGATAGATTTCCCAGGACCTGTTGTTTTCTTTGTCGAATATTTCTTTTCTGCCTTATCAAGTGTTACCGTGGCTGTGAAGACACCGTCAAATACCTCGTCATCAACATCATCATGGCTTTTACTTGTCATAATCATTTACATGCCACACAAAGTTAATCAGTTCTAGTCTTGTTAAATGCGCCCCTCCGAGAATGACAGCTAAAGCTCTGATTACAACACTTGTTACTGGTGTAATAACAAACAGCCAAATTCCAAACCTCCGTGCTAATTTAGAGTCCATTTTAATAATCCGGATAATGGATAAAGAAGATTCTGCAATAGGAAAAATAATCAAATTATTTTAATACACATTAGAAAACCGACATTTTTTAATTATCATAAAACTATTAGATACACAATTTTAAATAATGTTTCCAATTTGATAATTGGGAAATACATAAATACAGGCAACAGATATATCAGTTTCAAAGCTTGTGTCCCCCCATCGAAGATTTTATTGGTAGCATGGCTCGGCTAAAATAGCTAGAACTAGCTAAAATAGATACTTATGGAGTTAGTTTGTACCAGGTTGTTGAAGATAGATTTGTCGACTTTTGTCTCCTGTTGAAATTTATTTTTTTACCCGGTCCTTATATATTTTATATAATAACTTAATCTTTTAACGTTCTAGCTATATCTCTGCAATTCTTTAAATTAAAAAAACGAATTAAAGAAATATAAAAAAAGATTATCTCACTTACATCTTCTTGTCTATCTTGCAGTAAATATGGCGTTTTCCCGCCTATACGGAACCTCTAAGTTCTAAGAGCTAAGTTCTAAGATCTAATTTCTCTAATGACATATAAATAACATAAAATATGTTTTTACTTGTAAATACAATTAGTAACATGTAGATACAAACATGTATAGATAAGGGAGATAATTGTGCCGAGCAAATACTCTATGGTAATATGTATGAGCAGTTATCTCTCTTTATTATATAAACGGTCTCTTGATTTATTTAAAGAATTGCTAAACGTTGTGTATGGAAGCAAGCTGATTACAATTCTAGTTTGTTTTTACATGCATTAAACAATTTTATTTCATAAAATTGGATGGGGATGACTATATTAATAAGTGCCAACAGATATTACAGACTTGCACCTGCAAATATATATATAATTATCTTAAAATTTACATGATCAGTGATAGCTTTTTGATTAAGGAAATATTTGCTAATAAATCTCTAAAAAAAATACATGTGCAGACAATATTGTACATGAAATGTTGTAAGGTAAAACATAGTCGGATGAGAAATAGACTTTAATAGCATTTCATCGACACTCACCGCCTCATTGCGGTTCGCAGAATGATTTATAAAAATATATTTAAATCTAGTTTGCCGTACCAAAACCGGATAAAATCACAAGTCATTTCCGTAATCAAACTTTCCGCCAGACTACCGTTTTTATATACATGTAAAAATAAGAAATGATTTGTTTTATTAGTTTTATTAACTATTTTCTACTTGTTTATTTTAAAGTAAATAAAAGACAGCAGAAAAAGACTGTACATGAAATAAGAGATAATAAATGATAAAATTGCTTATCACCAGTTGACATAAATTGACCAGTTTTGTATTCATTGTGCATAAACTAAATATTATGTTATGTTTTCGTGGTAGTTGTGCATCAGAAATTATACGTACTCTTAACGGACAAGTATATTATATCTAAGATATAAATAATGAAGAAGCGGAGGATTTATTAAAACTTTAAATAAAAAAGCTTAGAATTTCATAACTGGCTTTATTAAGTTGTTAAAACCATTTTCAATTATAAATTATATATCTAGTATCATAATTTTTGTCAAAAAGCTTCATTGTGCTGTAAATATTAAGTATTATCTACGAACATGATTGACAATCAGTCCTGGTGGCCACGGTTTATGTCTTTCAGTTCCAGCAGTGTAACGGTTAGGAACGGAGGAACCGAAGTTACAATGGCAGGATACTACGTCATCGCGCACCTGAAAAAAATCTCCGAATCGGACAATATAATAACTGCCCCATGAATTGAAAAGTAACTTTAAAGTATTATTTTGTATTAAGTTTCATGTAACCCACTCTTGATTTTATGTTAATCAGTCATATTGTTACTTTTGTGCCATGGCTTCAAATAAAAGTGATTGTTGTTGTTGTTTTATTTTGTCGACTCGAAGATAATTTTTTTCTAATTCTAAGAAATCGTTAGAAAATCAAAAACTTATTTTAGCGCACCAAAGATTGGGTTAAGTACTACTGCAGTAGATATAATTAAAACTCTGAACACGGGGGTGTCCGATTGGGAGAATTTTGCAGGTGCACGATGACGTAGTATCCTACTATTTAATTAAGTAACTTTATACCTATAATTTAGTTGAAAGAAGATGATCAGCAAGGAAGTAGTTTAAGAAATAAAACAATGTTTTGGACACAGGCAATTTTGCTTTAGTATTTATCTACAATCAGTTAGAAAAGCTGGAGGCGCTTTAAAACTAAACCAACAGATACCCTTCACGTATTTTGATAGATCCCTTGTTTGACCTTTAATTTTGATTTGAACAACAAAAGATTTAACAACAAGCATTGACATATCAACAATATAATTAATATGTTGTTTTGAAATTCTTATTGTTATCCAATAATCTGATAAATATGCATACAACAATATTATCACATGCATATATGCTTCCCTACAGGGAGTATAACTGACAATCCCTACCTTACATAAATGTAGACTAATGCATTTAATGTAATTGTACGTGATTATCACAAATTCTATTACAATTAACGAAGGTTTGTCATGATGCTATTATTTTAATAAAATGTATCTGCATATCCATTGACCTAAAATTAAGGGTCAAAAGTTCAAATTGTTGTTGCTTTACGTCTACTTTGCTTAATAACTTTGCTAAATAACATTTTTAATTGCCTTACATTTTAATGCACATTTGCCAATAGTATCAATTATTCCAACGCAAAAACTAGAAGTCGAAATTAAGTTTTTGGCGAAATGTTGTCAATGGTAAGTGAAAAATTATTATTGTATTTTTGAGTAAAGCTATATTATTTTGAAATTGAAAGATTTTGAAACTCTTCGACATTTGTATCACAAAAATACAACTGCCACGCCACCCAGACTCTTATAAAGGTGTTAAAATAACTTATGGATTTTCAACCAGGCATTGGACCAGTTATAAAATCCATTTTTGCGTGAATGAAGAGTTAACTCTTTAGCGATTTAACTTTAAAGTGTTTTAACATTTTTCAAGTGCAAAATGATAAGTTATGAAATATCAAATTGAATGTGTTTCGTTTACCTGTCAAAGTTAGCAAATTGTAAATTATTTTGTACAGTTAAACAAAAGATGTAAAAAGTGCATGATTTGTGATGTTTTATTAATATCAACTTCGTGACGAGATATTAATCATTATGTACATAAAGTTGTTTATCTACTGGTTGCCTAAACGGAATTTTTATAAAACGATACATAATTTTTTTTCCCATTTAAAGCTATGCCGGGCAAGATTTATTTACCAATCTTTAAAATGCTTACAATCTTTTCATCCATCAAAATTTTTATCACCATCAGAGGCTTTGATTAAAAATATGCAAAAATTTCCCTTTTTGGAGTAACAATGCCCGCCAGAAAAAATTTTAATTTGGCCCAAAAGCATTAAAAAATGTTTCCTATCAAATGCTTTTAAAAATCAATCGTTGACTTGTAAGCATTAGACAACGATTCTCAAGGTCAAAAAAGACGCAAAACAAGCACTATAAAACTGTGCTTGGGTGAAATCGTTTCTCATTTGAAGGATTCAGCAATATGGCAAGGACGTTGCACTTTGTAGTTTTGCTGTTCCTAAACTTGACCTTATTGAACGTTCAAGGTAGTCCTAGGGGCCACCACCACGAATCTTTGTTGCATAAATATCTATTTCATGATTATAACGTTAATGTAAGGCCCGTGTTAAATCATTCGGAACAAGTTGATATTATAATCCGTCTATCACTTAGAAAAATACAGGATTTAGATGAGAAACGTCAGTCTATAAAATGTACAATCAATTTGGACTTGTATTGGAAAGACGAATTTTTAACCTGGAATTCGTCAGAATATGGTGGAATAAAAACTCTAGTGTTTCCTTACAGTAAAAACATCTGGGTTCCGGACATCATGGTATATAATGCATTGGTTAACTCTGAAGATTATGGAATGGAAGGTTCTACCATACAACTTTATCAAAACGGTCAGGTGTATGCTTGGACACAAGTTCGTCTCAATACTGAATGTGAAATTAAATCTAAGAAATATCCATTCGACGAACAGATTTGTACCATTATTCTGTCGAAATTTATGAATACGGATGAAAGAGTCATGTTGAAGTCACAAATAAATGAAGTCCTGTTGCTGTATTACGAACATACCGCTGAATGGGAGGTAATAGATAACTACGTTACAACAGACACTTACCATTTTAACGTGACTGTAGACGTTTTGACGTACACGTTTATAAATTACAAATTCAAAATTAAAAGGGCATGCCGTATATGCCTTATAAACGTTATCATACCAGTTTTAATATTAGCATCGCTTAACTTGATATCGTTCTTTATACCTTGTGAAAGTGGGGAGAAAACCAGCTTTCCTATTTCCATATTTTTAACGATGGCGGTATTTCTGACGATAATTTCACGGGAAATGCCGGAATCTATCGACGGCGTTTCATATCTCAGTTCATACGTCACTGTTTTACTTGGTATTGGAGCAGTTACTACCCTGTGCTCGGCGCTTTCGTTACGTTTTCATTTCAGAGCCAGACCCAAATCAGTTTCCAAATTCTGGCGTTTCTTGGTGAAAATTCTAGTTCCTGTATCGGACGATAAGGACGAAAACAAGAATGTAGAAAATGATGACATTAAAAAGCAAAGGAAGCGTAGTCTTTCCCTAAACTCGAACAAGGATTTAGAAATGAAGAATATGAGATGTTCTGCCAGTCCAGACGTGACATGGAAACAAGTATCCCTTGCATTTGACAGACTTGCCTTCTTTGTCATGTTAATTTTGGAAGTTATTTCAACTGTTGTATTCTTAGATCTAATGTTCCGATAGATTCGCTTTATAGATACATGTATAAAAGTATGTATTTTATGAATTCATTGTTAATATAAGGGCATTAAAATAAATGATATAGCAGTTATCAGTGTAATTTCCTTTTAAATTTCGTAAATTCTTTATAGTAATGAAAATATCCGGTTATTGGACAAGCTATTTGGTTGTTTCGCCTGTTGTGACAAGTAACCAAACGTAATGTGCATTAAGTAAGTAAGGAATATACCATTATTTTACATGAAGAGGGAGTTTGTGACATTTTCAATTTTTGCCATTTTTTCGGCGTTCTTCAATGCTTTCAGTTTTGTCCACTTTGTAAGACGCATGGTACTTGCACATTTAAAACTGAAATCTAATTGTTTTAATGTTCGGTAGGATTGAAAAGAAAGATGAACAACTAACGTCATTGAATTTATTTATTCTTCATACCCGTATCGTACCAATAGATAGTTTAATGAAATGATATTGCGAAGAAAGTATGTATTCTGTTTAATCTCAATCTATAATACATGAAGCAGACTGAAAATAGTCATCAACCTTTATTATTACATTGAAGTAAAGTAATAAAATTTTCAAGCATTCAAAAAAATTAGAACGGACAATTCATTTAAATAGTGTTTGGATCAAGTAAAAATACTCTTTGTCAAATATACTTAGTAATTATATACATATTGCACAACGGCTTTTTCTAAAGGTTCTACACACTGGCAATGCTTTCTTCATCTTCGCAAAGACGTTCTCCTTTTTAAGATAGATTTCCCAGGACCTGTTGTTTTCTTTGTCGAATATTTCTTTTCTGCCTTATCAAGTGTTACCGTGGCTGTGAAGACACCGTCAAACACCTCGTCATCAACATCATCATCTATTCCTCTTGCAAAGTTATCTTTCATCTCTTTCAGTATGGTTTGAAATATGTTAGATCCTTCCGGAACATCTGAGTAATTTAGTGTATCGTTGTCAAACACGTTCTCTCCATTAGTACTCCTGAATCGTACAGATCTTTCTTTCAAGCTCTTGTCCTGAAGTACAAAATCAAGAAGATATACGGTACTGATTTTTAAGATTTTCCAAAAATATTTTTGGGGAATGTCTTAAACGAAGAAAATTACAAAGGGCTGTTTCGCTGATATAGGATTACAATTTTATAATTCCATATTTGATAAACGGTAATAATATTTTAATTACCTATATGGACAGGCGATACAAAATGAGAAAAAAATCTTAACTCGCATTCTTTAAAAAAATTGTTTTCAATATATCGACTAATCTTGTACTCTTCTACAGTATAAGTTGCTTTATTTTTGTCATCTTAAATAATTTCAATCAACCATTAAAATTTTTATCATTAGTGCTAACAGATTCAAACGTTTCACCCCAACTTAGTGAATATTACAAGCAATAAATGATAAATGATAAAATGTGAAAGTAAACAAAAAAAGTTATATTATTAAATATACAAATTCTATGTGAATGAGTCGAAAATCGAAATATAAAACTCAAAAGATGAGTTTTCATATTAAAGGGACTCCACTGCGGTTTTTGACATGAAAGGACTTGAAATATTTTTGCGAGATTTTAGTACTTTTTGATGGATGTCAAGACATAACTTGTCTGCAACATTTCAGATCATTCCCACACTCCGTTTTCCCAGACTATTTTTTTATCATGTAAAATGACAAAAAATGACAACAAAAAATGAAACATGTTGCAACACTTTTTACACAAATCTGACTTAAATCGTGCAAAACATTATCATAAATAAATTAATTAATTAATTAATTAAATTTAACTCTTTAGTTAGTATATTTCTTTATTATTTTTGCAGATTTTTCACTTTAACTTTATCAATTTTTTATCAGATTTATGCAAAAAGACCGTGTTCTTTTTCATTTCTTCATCTTTTTGCATTGGTGGGTACTTTAAACATTATTAAGTTAGAAAACAATACAAATTGTTGTTGATTGAAAAACAGAACTTAAAATATACATAAGGCATCAGAAACGAATTTTTTTCCTTCTTTATAAAGAGCATTTATGAAGTAGATAACATTTAAATAATGACCATAGAGCATGTTACATGCTAATTGCTTGTAGAAATTAGCAATGAATGTAAAATTAGCAAAAAAATATTTTTTTTTATGTTGAATTCTGCTTAAGCCGATGCAAGGGGGCGTGGACTGTAACGGTGCCGATTATGAACAGACTCAATCAAATATTTTTAATTTTGTTGTTTTGGGCGTTCTTTGGAAATTCTGTTAAACAATATTTATGGAGACCTTGAAATTTCAAAACAGTGTATTTTCTTTTCTTTCTCCGTCTTTCCGTCCAGTATACAAAATATTGATTTTTAAATCTGATATAAAGTTTATAATAACCTTGCATGTTTAAGTATATCATGCTTCATTGTCATACATTGAGGTTAAAGAAGTATGAGGAAAATCTTCGGACAGGGATGATTACAGTTACCGTAAAGTATGCTTGTCAGAGCTATGCACGCGAGCAGAATAATTATTTTATATGGAATTATTGGAAATTAATAACACCAATTGTGAATTAAATTAATAGATCAAAAGGTGCAAACGCTGGAATTTCATTGGTTACATTTTGAGAAAACTGAAATATTTTCACAAGTGCGTGTATAAAGGGCGAATGAACCCTCATTAAGCATAGAATGCATTTCTTTAATCTTTTCGCTTTGCGTTGTGTGATATTTAGCGAAAAACAAACTCATTATTTTTGTATTTCATTCAAAATGGCTACGCAAACAATACTCAATTCTAAGTTATTTTAAAGCTTCATCATTACTTTAATCTATTTAAATGAAGTAATGATATTTGAATTGAGAAATGTGCCATGACAAACAAAAAGCAATGAGTTCAGAAGGAGGAAAGATACACTATCGGAAGGATCTAATTTAGAAATAACATCGGCCTGAGAGGTGTATACCGGCTATTTAACACCGGTTTGGAAATTTGATGCGTAAGAATTGACCACGAAGGCCGTCGGCCTGAGTGGTTAATTTTGTCGCATCAAAACGACAAAACCGGTGTTAAATAGCCGATATACACCCCTCAGACCGATGTTATTTCGATTCTAACACGATAAAATAAGGAAAAACACTAATGTTATTTTTCAAGCGGAAATAACTTCCGGTGCCGATTTTCGTAAAACGCTGTTCGATTTTCGCACCCTACTGTTGCGAAGATATAGAAATTATCAAACAAAAGAAATAATAAGAAAAAAAAACGTTATTTTATCAAGTTTTCAACAATAAAAACTTTCGTCGTATTGTGTTTACATCAGAGCCCCATTTATCATTCTTGTATGTATGAAATAACGTCAGCTTGTTTATGAATGAGTTGTTTACTTAGGATGGCGTCATTTCGCTGCATACGGAATGGCGTCGTTTTGTCAAAATATTTATTGACTGATATGGATCTAATATGTGGCGTTAGTGTATGTGAGATATTATTTCGGTATTATATGGAAAAAAAAATACACGAACTGAAAATATAAATAAAAATGCTTTTTATTGTTGCTTTAAAATGCTTTGTAAACTATACAATCGAGGGTGAAAACATAACAGCGCATATACAAGTAGTCCCTAACCAGTGTTTATTGGCAGTTTAACACTAGTTTTTTTCCTTCTTTGTCTACAGTGACAAAATCACGTAAGTGTTAAAATTATTGTTCGAAAGGAACATTAACAAGTACGACTGGACACATTTTTAAAGAAAGTACAACTAAATCAACAAAATGTATAATCTTTCATATGAAGGCCAAATGAGAGATGACAATGAGTTAGCTCTTTGGCAATATCTCTGTCGGTTCTGACCTAAACAGTAATGTCTCAAAATCGAAATTGTGACCCCCAAAAAATAAACATATCCCGGAATCTGCATCATAAGTAACCGAAAACGATAATGTTGGCTCTAAATGAGGTGTTGAACGGTCATTTTAGTAAACATCGTAATACTATTCGGTCTTTTTGACTGTATTCTTTTATGATATGTATATGCATTCTATTTCGTTTTAAAACCGCAACATGTTAAACAATCAGATAAATAATTATATTATTTATTACACGCCTAATAAAATATTACCGATGAACTTTCAGCATTTAAACCAGGTGATGTTCCAATTAACATCAATATCGGATCTTATCGTATCACTTTAACCGCGTTCCCAATTTCAGAGTCCAAAAACTTCATCAAATCCATATTGTATCCCATACAGCATTGTTTGCATTTCAATGTCTAAAATATCTATATGAAATGCAAACTTTAATTTGTTTAGCCTTATTTTTACTTTTAGGGTCAACAATTAATTAATAATACCTTACATTTAAAGTAACAACATTCCATAAAAATATGAATGAAGAGCTCATTATACATTATTGAGAACAACACTTAATAAAAAAAAATATTCTATTGGACTCGTACACAGCTACAAAAGCAATATCATGCACGGCTAGCTCCTCGTCCAATATAGATCTGACAGCCGTGTACACGTCCGATAGAATTCAGTATTGTACACAACAGTGTACAACAGTGTATAATATCCTAACCATAAATATAAGATTGTTATGAGTATTATGCTAAAGAATACAAGTAAATGGAAATCTGGTTATCTTGGAAAAGACATTTTAGTAAACAGCCATATGTACTATACTTGTCAATCATGTGTATTCTTTAAAGGCTTCTGCTAATTTTATATATTAAGCTTCACAGAAACGCAGTTGACAGTGCTTAGATGTTGTCTACCTAAACATTAAGTAAAATACAAATTAGCACAATAAGAAGGACATCTGAACATATTCACGGTGCCTTTACCACGTGACTTTTTGTGGTTAGCATAATAAAAATAACGAGAAAATTTTTATTTCATTTTTGAATATTTCATTTTTTATAGAATTAAATGTAGAGCACGCACATTCTAGTGATCAAACGCATTCATTGAATTTTTATTTAGAAAGTTATCATGGCCAAAAATTCTGGACCGTTTTTTGTATTGACCACAAAAAGTCACATGGAACGGGCACCATGATATTGAAAACATCCAATTA